GTACCATACAATTCCAACTTTGCATGATATTTCTCCCCCCCTCTCTCTCTAGGGGGCAATTTTTATATTCTCCAGTGGGTGAAGAAATGTTGTTTGTGATATTTCTCTCTCCCTCCCTCTCTTTCTCTCTCTAGGGGGCAATTGTTATATTCCCCAGTGGGCAAAGAAAAATTGCTTGCCCGTAAATTGGGAACTGAATTATTTGCGATTATTTACAGAACAATTACATTTATATAACAATAACTGTCACGCCCTGACCTTGTGGTAAACCCAAATAAACTGCATGCTGAAATTGTCAAAAGACCTGCAGTCATGTCAGCTTGATTTGAGTTTCGGAGAAATATCTAATTTGTCTCCAAATGAATGATGATTTGGTTAAAAAAGATACACCATATTGATTTGTGCATTTTTTTTCTGACCTGAAGTGGCCCTCAGACCCCAGTTTAATGAACGTCACTTCATTTTTTTCCTGCTGTTAAATTATTGTATGTTTATATCTATTTTAAACAATCATGCTATATATGTTGTATATGTAGGTGACAAGAAGACATTATTTAGTTATTATGTCTTGCAGTTCATCTCATTGTGTTATTTGCAGGCATCAAATATTCCATTTTCAGTATTTACTGTGCTGCTAGTAGTACATATGAACGTGACCTTAGAAAGTCTTTTCACATTGCTTTAATTTTTTTTCAGTCAATATTAGGAGGACAAATGCAATAAGATACATATCTGTCGCATACCTTTTGAGACATGTCAGTCCCATCTGTCTCTGGTGGCGGCAGCAAAATTGCATGAAGTGAAGAGATAATAATATACTACATGTGGTGTATGAAGTACTGATATGTTATGTCAAAAGTAATATAATGAACTGAGTGATGCGTTACTCTTTTAAGGACTTTTTTGTGTGTGGAACAACCACAGTTTCTGGTTTGACTGTTGTATTTAGCGTATAGCTGAGGAATATTAGTAGAATTATGGAATATCTGGGCATCTTACAAAGAAATTTAATGTTCTCTATTACCTGCAGCAATATGGTATATATTTACTTCAACAAAACCCTGGTTGTTGATTTTATATTTGCCTTTTCCAAAACCTGGTATACATGTAATTAATATCTGATTGAAATTGTATTTGCTGTATATAATTACATACATCTGAATTGGAAGCTAGGTTGAAAAAAGACCTAAAGAAACTCTAAAATAGTGGTTGCAAAATTGGCCCCAAGGATTTTTCGGGTTAATGACCAGATGACAGCATATTTAATGAGTAGTATTCAGTTGGATTAATATGTTTCCACATCTCTTATCTTATGAGACACGATGCCAGGTAAGACAAGTTTTCCTCCTTTTGGGGGCAATTTCCTCCTTTTTATGTGAGAAAGGAATTTAAGAAAGCCACAGGAATTTAAAATGAAATATTAATAAAGGGGGAAAATCTCGAGAGGATTCGCTTTTTTCTCCTCATTAGGCGTTCTTTGTTTTCTCTCTGGTGTATAAATATGGATTCTCTATTTTTTCAGGTGGGGTATTAAAATGAAATGACTAATGATGTAATAGACAAAGATCTGCATATTTTTCGAGAGCTGTGAAGTTGATTACCTGAACCTGACAGCTGCTGATTGGGGACCTAATTTTATATTACATTATTGATTATTATTGATTTGATTATTATTGATTGATTATTGATTTTTTATTGGAATGATCTTAAATTGCAGCAATTTGAATATGGAAGACAGCCCAAACATTAGAAAATGTTTTCAAAAAAAAAAATTGGAATGCACCAGTGTGGTTGCACCAAAAACTAAAATCTCAAGGGTAGGTTCCATTTTCTGTCATCTGCGTGAGATAATTCAATCAATTTTCCCTTTTGCTAAGTAAAAGCATTTGAAGTGGAAGGAAGGGTTTGGGATAGGCTGGTTTTAAATTGGATTTTTGTAAATATTTTATGAAGTTGATAAAGATGACAATAGCAGAGATGGAAAGAGGATCATGAAGCATTACTTTCTGGGAGAGATAGTGACGTTCCTTTGGGTCGGTACATCTTAAACAGCAGACAGAGTCTGTATTTGCTTCATCCCTCAGACAATTGTTAAATTGATTTATGTTTCTAGGTTCTGTATCATGGAAGGACTTAAAGCACTCTCTACAGGATTTACCCTCCAAAATTAATTTTCCTCGAAAAAAGTGCAATTTTCTCCTGTGCACAAATTGTCACTTGGCCTATCTCTGCACTCTTATGCAATGTTTTATTCCATGTTAAATTTGATTATGGTAAATAATACAGACATTTGAGCTGTCATGGCTACCTGTGAAGGCTAAGAAGATAATATCGACACTATGTATGCTTCAGAGTAACTTTTTTAGGGTTTTTATTGCTATTCATTAAGGTCTGAATTTGTAAATATAAGAAGCTTAATAGGATATAATTATGACCATTNGCTTTAATTTTTTTCAGTCAATATTAGGAGGACAAATGCAATAAGATACATATCTGTCGCATACCTTTTGAGACATGTCAGTCCCATCTGTCTCTGGTGGCGGCAGCAAAATTGCATGAAGTGAAGAGATAATAATACACTACATGTGGTGTATGAAGTACTGATATGTTATGTCAAAAGTAATATAATGAACTGAGTGATGTGTTACTCTTTAAAGGACTTTTTTGTGTGTGGAACAACCACAGTTTCTGGTTTGACTGTTGTATTTAGCGTATAGCTGAGGAATATTAGTAGAATTATGGAATATCTGGGCATCTTTACAAAGAAATTTAATGTTCTCTATTACTGATTGAAATTGTATTTGCTGTATATAATTACATACATCTGAATTGGAAGCTAGGTTGAAAAAAGACCTAAAGTAATGTTAAAATAGTGGTTGCAAAATTGGCCCCAGGGTTTTTTGGGGTTAATGACCAGGCAACAGCATATTTAATGAGTAGTATTTGGTTGGATTAATGTTTTCACATCTCTTATCTTATGAGACACGATGCCTTGTAAGACAAGTTTTCCTCCTTTTGGGAGCAATTTCCTCCTTTTTATGTGAGAAAGGAATTTAAGAAAGCCACAGGATTTTAAAATGAAATATTAAAAAGGGGGGAAAATCTCAAGAGAGGATTCGCTTTTTTCTCCTCATTAGGCGTTCTTTGTTTTCTCTCTGGTGTATGAATATGGATTCTCTATTTTTTCAGGTGGGGTATTAAAATGAAATGACTAATGATGTAATAGACAAAGATCTGCATATTTTTCGAGAGCTGTGAAGTTGATTACCTGAACCTGACAGCTGTTGAATGGGGACCTAATTTCATATTACATTAATTGATTGATTATTGATTTTTTATTGATTTTTTATTGGAATGATCTTAAATTGCAGCAATTTGAATATGGAAGACAGCCCAAACATTAGAAAATGTTTTCAAAAAAAAAAAAAAAATTGGAATGCACCAGTGTGGTTGCACCAAAAACTAAAATCTCAACTGTAGGTTCCATTTTCTGTCATCTGCGTGAGATAATTCAATCAATTTTCCCTTTTGCTAAGTAAAAGCATTTGAAGTGGAAGGAAGGGTTTGGGATAGGCTGGTTTTAAATTGGATTTTTGTAAATATTTTATGAAGTTGATAAAGATGACAATAGCAGAGATGGAAAGAGGATCATGAAGCATTACTTTCTGGAAGAGATAGTGACGTTTCTTTGGGTCGGTACATCTTAAACAGCAGACAGAGTCTGTATTTGCTTCATCCCTCAGACAATTGTTAAATTGATTTATGTTTCTAGGTTCTGTATCATGAAAGGACTTAAAGCACTCTCTACAGGATTTACCCTCCAAAATTAATTTTCCTCAAAAAAAGTGCAATTTTCTCCTGTGCACAAATTGTCAATTGGCCTATCTCTGCACTCTTATGCAATTTCTTATTCCATGTTAAATTTGATTATGGTAAATAATACAGACATTTGAGCTGTCATGGCTACCTGTGAAGGCTAAGAAGATAATATCGACACTATGTATGCTTCAGAGTAACTTTTTTAGGGTTTTTATTGCTATTCATTAAGGTCTGAATTTGTAAATATAAGAAGCTTAATAGGATATAATTATGACCATTGGGGGGGATCAAATGCATATTTGAGATCAAAAGATGGTCTCAACTATAAGAGTCAGTTTTTGGTGGAAACGCACCTGCCACACGGTGTAGAGCTTGAAAGTAAAGACAGAAGTCCACTGAGGAAATCTCCACGAATTTTGTTTGGCATCTAACACTTAATTACCAGGAAACCAACACTGGGAAGACTCATTTTACACTGGAAAAAAAAGCACCCTTGGATATCAGTTCTCCCACATGTATGTTATATTGGGAAATTCCATCTGAAATAAGTGCCAGTTGTGAATTAAGAGGTTGGACTTGGTATAATATGAGATAAGAAAAGAGCCTGCTTTATCAAGTGTTTTATGACCTCAGTAGATAAAGACAAACAGATCACAGAGGTACTAGTAGTCACTATAGCAATAAAAAGACAGCTCTATAAAAATATCTACTTTTACCTAATACCTGTTCTTTCATTGATTTGTGTTAATCAGTAGTTTGAGGGACTAGCTTATCTGCCCCCTTCCCCTCCAGTCGAGTATATAAATAATGATCCACCAGTTTAGGAAACTCAGTGAAAAGTTTTTGATCTCAGTTTTTTTTTTCTTTTTTAATTTACACACAAAGCATAGTAGTGCCTTAACCAGAAATATTGAAGATTTGTCCTTTCACAGTGTGTTTTTTACCATTTGTAACCCCAATTCAGGTCAGGCTGCTGAACTTACCAGGACACATGTATTTTACCCTCTGTGACTTCTGTACAACACCACCCCCATGGAGACCTCAGTCTTCATCCTGGATACAGTTTATCATGTTCAGTCTTAAAACAGTACAGTTTTGAACATCTCGTGACTTGTATTTTATCTTCTACAGCCCCGATACTAAACACACGCTGCAGGAGATGTTATCGCATTATGAGCCATAGGTCACAGGATTAACTTTGTGTTTTATCACCTGACGCCTCACTTAAACTAAATACTGAACATGACGATGGCTTTATCAAGGCAAATAGGCTTAATGACTTCTGTATTTTAGCATTCAGAGCCTCAGTCCTAAACAAACGCTGCAGGAGAGGTTGTTACTCAACAGATAACAACGGGGTGTTGGGGCTAGAAGCTGATGTTCGCTAGTCTCTGCACATGCAGTATATCGGCTGTTAATACAGACACAGCGCCCACCAAGAAGTTTCCTGAACTGTTGATATCTTTGGTCAGGGGTCTTCAGAGAAGAGGAGTTCACGTTCAGGGAACTTAATCAGTTGCTTCTATTTTCTGTACTGTTGAAAGAGTTGAATTTTGCGTGTGCCCAAAGACGTGAGCTCTTCATACTGTGTAGTATTGTATTTCTCCTCTTCCTGATCTTAATCAAGTGAGGGAGATCACAGACATCAGATATTTTTATATTTTATATAATATGCTCTGTGTACGTGAGAGGACTCTGGAGAATTTTTAGACTGCAGAAAGAAATAAGGACCAGGTTGTGTGCACAGGTTCCAGAATGGATGGAAGAACGCTTGTAGATACATGTATATAAGCTCAGCTTGGAGTTCATTTTTGAAGGAATATTGTCAAGAAGAAAGAAATCTGGGAAGATCTCTGCAGCTAGGATAAAAGGTGAAATTTTTCTTCTTTTCTTGTGGAAGTAAAATGTATTGTTATCCTTCCAGGAGATTAGCGAGAGATTCTTGCATGTTAGTCTAGATGGATATGATGAGTTGGGTTTACAGTAAAAGTGAAAGATTTCTTACACTGTAAGAAGAGGTTTTGACTAAAGAGAGAAGACGAAAAAAATAGTCCTGTAATAAAACAAAAAAATAACTGATGCTTTAAGATCAGTGAAAAGAAGAACATGGAGATCTTTTATCAGGAGCTCCTCCCATATTTAATTTATTTCTTTATGATCTAGTTGAGGAGGGTGGGGAAAAGTTTTAAGAGATGATACATTTTTCATAGTCTTGGTATTACAATTATTCAGGTGTTTCCATTTTTATTTGGTAAGCTGGGTGTATTTAGCCCCTGCTGTAGCGTAAATTATGGAGTAGCTTGGGAGTGAGTGTTTATTTTTGAGAATTCTAACTTTTTAGCCAGGAGCTGTTTTTCTCTTAAATCTTTAAAATATTTGGTTTCAGATTTGAATAAAGGGTGTGAAATGAAGGAGCAAAGAGCGCCTGAAAAAAAAAAACAAGAAACCACCCCTCAAAGCATGAACCTTGTAATCTGCAGTGCCATGAAATTGACACATGCATAAACTTTTCATAACTTGCCTGGTTCTAAAGTCTGGGTTTAGAAAAAGAAATAAGCAGCTGCTCGTGTTTGGACAATTTGGCAGCAAATGATCAGAGAGAAGTGAAATCTTCTCATTTCCTTCTGTCGAGATGTTTTATTTTTGTCCAGTAGTAATTACATCCCAGAAGCGTTTACAGAATTGAGATCAGAGATGGATACGGTGCTAAAAACGAGTTGTTGCCTGGAGAAGATGCATGCTATCATGGGATTCCTATTTAAAGCCGAGTTCACACTAGGGGGTTAGGTTATGATCAACAGAGCATCCATTATATGATTTCTTTAATTCAGTTCTGAACTGATTCTAGTCACACCCTGTGTAAAACTGGCCTAGCTAGCTGAGAGTCATGATAGGGCTTTGTTTCAGCGAGGTATTTTTTTTTTTTTTTCGTGGTCGGTGATATTGTGCAATTGATGAAAAAGAAAGTCTAGTTCTGGGCTTGTTCTTTCACTTGCTGACAAATTACCACAGTACACGTGATTTATCTGAAAATTAGTTAAAACTGACCAAAGTGGACATTTCCTAAACCAGTCTTTACTTTTGACACAAAAAATCCTTCAGTTGATTAGTTTCAGCCTACATTTGTTTTCATTTTCTCTGCCAGATGCAAAATCTGTCAATTTTTGCTGTAAGTCGCATGTTCTACAGTTGTGTTCCTTCGAGGTCCCCTGGTAGGGTCTGCTCTGCAGGAGATCCAGATGTCAGGGATTCATAGATTTTTAACCATTTGAAGGATTTCTCCCTCTCGTGTAAGAACGAATATTTGAAACTTATTTGGATTTGTTTAAAGTTATTCAGGTGTTTTTTCATTAAAGGATGATCGAGGGACAGATTTTTTTTCTCCCTATTTATCATTATCTGTGTTTATACAGTTTCATGAGATAATCTGTGAAGGATATAAAAATGTATATATAATTATCTACCAGAAAATATAATATTACCCGTATTTAGCATCACCTTCTGCACTCTAGAAATTACAGCCTTGTGTGTCTGGGTTTGCACTTAATTTTAATATAAATTTACATTTTTATGAGAGCTAGCCGTCAAACTTGACTTATATGATGATGTATATCAGAATATTTCCAATACCTTAATTTATGTTTTGATAGCCGTCTTGAAAGGTTCTTAATGAGAACAAGATTCTCAGAGTGAAATAAGTGATCATCAAGGAAATTAAACTAAAATAAAGAAGACATCTGAGGTTTATTAATTGGGTTTTGTGTTGGTATTGTGTTTCTGATGCCAGTTCATACGAGACCTAAGTTACCAACTAAATCTGAAATATAGTCTACATTACATCAATGGTTGTAATTAATTAGTTGATTTTTTTTTTTTTTTCATTTTATTTATTAATTTTGGTACAAGTGCATTAATACAACGACTAAGACCTTGTGGTATATTTGGTAACCACGGTACTAAAACCCAAATGACCATTCTGATTGTATTCAAGTACATATTTGCACTTTATAAGTTCATTCATTCCATATTCAAATTTAAGTTATTGGTTTTCATATTTATATACATGAAAGAGAATTTATTGCTGTGTGGACACCTGCTTGAGAGTGAAGGTAAGAAAATAGATTTATCCGCCTGTGCGTGTGTGTGTATATGGTAATGACATATCTGCTATTCAGTGTTAGAGGTTAAGGTCAAGGTTAATGTTTAAGTTATCTTATATTTCGTAATTATTCCTTGAAGTTCGTATAATTAAGGGTGTGTGAAGTAATTCACCAGCTGATGTTGTATAGGGCTGTGTTCGGTGCAAAACATCATTAGTTATTTCTCTCACACAGGTAACCTGGTTAATAATTAAAAATCTATCAATCTCTAAAGATGGGTATAAAGAACAATATCTGATCATAACTGAATGAAGAAAAGCTACAAGAGTAAGGATGAGTGATGAGAGACCAGGGCCCCGTAACTCAAAAGCATCGCAAATTGCGACCGAGGGCAAGCATCTCTATTCCATAACCCAGGATTTACTTGCCCCATATAGGCCCTAATTGCCCCGATTTAAAAGGTGATTCGCAATTCACGATGCTTTCGAGTTACAGAGCCCAGAGTTTCTGGATATATGTTACACGCATTGCCTGCCAGTAGTGTAACCTTGCACCCACTGAATGTTCACTCGATTCTCGCTAAAATGGAGGCAACCACCCCCACTGGAATAATTAGCCGTGTTTATCTCCGTGCCACAGACCTGCCTTTTTAATTCAAATTGAGCAGCTTTAACTTGGCAATATATTTTATTGATTTGACTCTCCTATTTTTCCCCCCAGCTGTAATCTGGGTTGTGCTGGACACTCCCCAAGAAGGGAATCCAAAATGAGAACTGTAAACAGACCTTGGCATATAAAGTTGATTATATTGTCGGTTATTTAGGCTATTTGTTATCAGTCTGGCCGTTAAGTTCAATACATGCCCTCAGCAAAACATTAGGTCAAAGACTTAATACAGTTATGGCTTATTTTGCTTCGAGTTTACATCCAAGTTTACATTTAGGTAAAGTGTGGAAGGGTGCGTTGTGGCAAATTTCAATTGGTTACTGGAAAATAAGTTTGCTTGGAGATGTAAGTATAATTCTGGAATAGAGGCCGTAGATAATAGGTAAATATTTCTTGATTTTAACAAATGGCATTTGTTCTTTATTATGGACTTGCTGACTTTTGGACTAAGTGATTGGACTGACTGGCCAGCTAACTGACTGACTGACTGGCTAGATAGTCGGACTATTTAAAGATATCACTAAATAACTGACAAGACCTTGGTTGGTTTATCATATAATAAATTGAGATATTGATTTTTTTTTTTTACTGATAGTAAAAGGATCTAAAAGAACTGCATTTGGTTGGAATGTGTTCCCTCCATGCCAGCTTTTGCACTATGCTAATGATCAATTATTCGAAGGTGCAGCACATGCTCTCTAGTTGTGCAACCAGCCAAATTCCGAGCCAACATTATGATCACCAAATCCAGAAACCAGTTGACCTTGACCTTGGGAGCTAGCCAGATGACATTACTCCGTGTTTGAATGCTCAGTGGAGAAGTTTTGTTTTTCTTGAGGTATAATCTGCTTTTTGCTTCTCCCCAAAGAATTACTCAATGTCTGAGTTAATTGAATGTAATGAGGGAAGGCTATGGAAGACATGGCTCGGTAGCACCAGGCGCAGTGACGGTCACGCTAAGGCAAGGAGGCTTCAGTTTGGAAGGTTTTGTGAATGAAATACAGTATGTTTATGTCAAAGAGGTTTTAAAGATTTATTAGAAATGAAGTTTAGATGGTGTATTGTAGCGAGTCATGGGAGGTTTCCTCAGTCACAAAAAGGAATCCCGTTTGTTTGTCTGTTTGTTTGAAAAACTTGTTACTGGAGAAGCTATGATAAAGAGAACCTAAGGATGATTGAGTACTCAGGCCTACCCAACTACCAGACTCGGCACCGAATGTTCCTGAATTCACTGGTAGATCAGACCACACTACCCGTTTTCAAGGTGTGTGTCAGATCGCATTACACAGTATCAGACGCGACACCGCTCTTGCCTAGTACGCGATGTGATAGTGACGATTCTCAGCGGGGTTGAAAAGCATTGCATCACCACTCAAAATTTCTTCAGGGTATGATACTGTGTAATGCGATCTGACACACACCTTGAAAACGGGTGGTGTGGTCTGATCTACCGGTGAATTCTGGATCATTTGGTGCTGAGTCTGGTAGTTGGGTAGGCCTGAGTACTGGTAGTGCTCTAAATAAAGAATATGTACATTGTAGCTTACCCTCTCACTTACAATTTGACTCATACAGTATGTATAAAGACCTGTGGGTTTAAGAGAAAAGGATAACAGTCCCAATGGAGTTTTAACACTTCCTCTCATCCTCTTTACTTTCCGTCGTTTTCCTTTGAAAGATTTTCAGGTGCAAACTTTATACCATTTATTATTTCTACTACCATTTATCAATTGCTATTACATTGTCTCCACTTATGATGTGTGTTGTCAGTTTATTTTCATCCCAGTGAATCAGGGCTATTGATGCATTTTATGGCCGACTTCCAGCAAAACTAAACCATTGGATTAATTTTCTTTTGTATCAAAGATAATGAACACGCAAAAGGTTATCTAAGATCCTTAGGACTATAGCTGGTAGCAGGCTTTTTAATTGAATCCAGTGATGCTATTACAGTATGGTATAATGGGGGATCATATAAGGCTGCGTTCACCACCGTTTTAGTACAAAATGTTTTAGACCCCATAGGCAATATCAGTCTACATACGTAGATCAACCCAAATCTCTGGGGACATACGAAATGCAGGTTTACTGATTGGCATGCCTCT